GCTTTCCTGTTTTTTTAATCATACTCTCTCTGAGCATTTATTTTCATATTTCTTAATCTACAGGCTGTGATGTATTTCCTTTGCTTTCGCTTGAGATATATTATGGATTGTCCAAATCTTAAATCAGATCTGTTCCGTATGCCTTTTGGAACTCTGTTTCACCACCAATTGGAACCTCTAAAGGTTTGTATGACATGCACTCTCTGCCTGCTTTGATAGTATATCCTATTTACGGATCTCCATGAGTAGCTGCATCTTGATGTGTGGAGCCATTAACTGGCAACACTATGCTATTTTAGCAATTCACACCGTCTTTTGATAATCCTAGGTATGCTTGCCTTCGATAGTAAGTGAGTTCCTGAGACAGGCGAAGGGTGCCAAATTGGTCGCTAAATTTGTGGATCCAGCAGCTAAAGATACAGTTGAATCTGATTGCTCAAGGACTTCTGGAGGAATCAATAGATTTGACATGTTCTTCCCGTTTGATCCCTACCTACTCAAAGAATCTGACAGGTTTACACCACTGACATTTTCTATTACTGAAGCCTACTACAGCGGCAATGAACTACTGCTCTTTGCATTGTTTGTGCTATGTCTAGCAAGCCTTGTTGTTCGACTTCCGGACTTCCCTTAAGTTTCAGTATTATACTTTGACAAGCTGTTTGGGTTTCGATTTGTGTTATCTGTATCTGGAGAACAGTTGCTAGTTGTCCTCGTCACACTCACAGTTTTGCTCCATTTGTACCTGCAGATACATCAGTTCACATTTCGAGGTCTGGTCCATGGTCATGACAGAGAGCGACGACAGTGATGATGTCCTTGACACCCCTGAGATGAACGCGGATGGTGGCGGCAGCTTCAGCATGCCCGCGAGGATCAAGCCTTCGGCGAGCCCTCCCATGTCAGGAGACCCACCATAGATAGAAGAAGATAAACAATCACTGTAGGTCCATTATTGTGCCGCCGCTGCCTCCGGCCGGCAAGCAAGACCCGATCCCAACTTGCTAGTTCTGCTGCCAAGCGCAGTGCCCTTGCTGCTAGTTACTACCAAGCTAGTGGTAGATGCTGCTAGTGCACCACTGCAAGCAAATAGTTAATTGAAGTGAGCTTGAATGATTGATTGCACCAATAGAAATACATCCAATTAAGAGAAAAAAAATTAAACTGGTATGCATATTAGTGTTGAATTCCAACCAGCACGGCTAGATTGCTGGGGACCTGACCACGGACAGAGCCGGTGGCGTTCTTGGCGAGGACTGACGCCAGGCGTCCTTGCCCCTGGTCGTGCAGCACTTGCTAGTTCAATTGAAGTTGACGACAGCGGCGACAGCCAGCACGGTGCAGGTGCCGGCGAGTAGGAGAGCCCGCGCTGGCGTTCTTGGTGCCACCGCAGACGGACCTGCTGCTCTCCGGGTTCTACCTCTGGGCCGGCGAAGCCAATGCATTGGACGGCGATGGCCACATCGAGCTGGTCTGCTCGCCCAACAACCCCGACGGTGCCATCCGCGAGGCCGTCCTGAGCTCCGAGTCCGGCAAGGCGATCAACGACCTTGTGTACTATTCACCTCAGTGCACGCCCATCACCGGCGCTGCTGCCCACGACATCAAACTCTTCACCATGTCCAAGATCACCGGCCACGCCGGCGCCAGACTCGAGTGGCCGCTGGTCAAGGACCGCGACGTGGCTAGGAAGATGGTGTACTTCATGGACCGGAGCGCTGGCGGGCCCTGCGCGCCGCCGTGGCCGCCACCGTCTATTGCAGCTTCACCAAGCAAACCGTGGGATCGATGCCAGATGCCCAACGCCCCAACCCAAGCACACAAATTCCGTCATTATTGCAACTTGCTTTGAATTCTCACTGGGTTTGCAATCAGAAGCAGCGTTCGCGTGGCTGCGCTGCGAGAAGGATGGCGTGGAGGACTGCGCCGAGTTCCTGCGCGGCCAAAGCATCGTGGGGCGGGGCGGGGAGCAGTTCGGGGGAGGCGCCAGGTGCGTCAGGGTCAACATGCTGGATGTAACGATCTGATAAAATTCGCTGGCGATTTTCACCTGATGGCATGCACACAGCTAAGTCGGCCTATGAGCTGCAGTTCATCGGATCAACCAAAATGGAAGTGTCACATATCATTTGGTCCGGCTGGGCCCCCGGCAAGTGCAGGTTCTTCCTTTGGACCGCGGCTCTTGGGAAAACACCATCGGCAGATCATCTACAACGAAGAGGCTGGGCCAACAACTACTTCTGTGCTCTCTGTTTTAGAAATCTGAAGACCCCAACGCACTTACTGGTTGAGTGCCCATGGGCTTGGTGCATTTGGGATCAGATTGCTGCTCAGGCAGGCATGCAACATCTACAGCCGGCAAACTGGCCGGCGATTGGCAACCTGAAGGGATGGATGTCCATTTGCTGGCACAATGCACCAAAAGAAAAGAAAAAAGGCACTATATCGATGATCCATCTGGTCGCCTGGGAGATATGGAAAGAACGCAATAGACGTGTATTTCAGCAGCGAGAAATGACGACCACCCAACTGATTAGGATTGTTAGAGAGGAGATTAATTTGTGGAATTTGGCAGGTGCCAAAATCCCATTTGATCCGGGCTGATTGTTTTTCTCTTCTTTCTTTTTAGCGCCAGGCCTTTTCTAGTGCTTTCTCTCCTGGGTTTTTTGCTTGTATTATTCCCTTGCTAATCAACGAATTTGGGAGATCTCCTACCAACATTCAATTTTGTGTTGCATGTATATTGAAATTGTGGTCCACCTCCTAATCTTGTATAATTGAGGTAGAGGCCTTCCCTTGTAATTATATATACGTGCACTAGCACCCCATCAATACAAGGTCTATTGTATTGCAAACTATCTCTTCTACATGGTATCATCTTGGTCGGTACGACCCTAGGGTTTTGCCGCCGCCGCCGCACCCTCCTCATGCGTGCCGCCGCCGCGCCGCACCCCACCACCGTCGCACCACGCCGCCGCCGCCACGCCGCACCACACCGCCGCCGCCGCCACGCCTCACCCCACCACCGCCG